GGAAGAAAAATAGGAAGATGCTTTAAAAGGATGTTCAAGACCTATTTATATCATTGCTTTCTTTTTATGCTCTTGTTCTCTTAATCTGTACAGGGAGAAAGGATATAGAGGAGAGTCAGGGGGAACCTCAGAACTTCCTAGGTGCTAAGGAAGCTAGAATGTAAACTGAAGGCAACGTTTCATTTACCTCAAATAGCCTCAGGAGGGAAGTAACCTTAATACAGAATAAATCACTGGATAGGTTTTAAATGCAAACCTGGATTTAAGTCTGGTGCTTATTTAAGAAAGATGAATATAGTCTTGGGTACTTAGAGATGACTCTGAAGAGAAGATGTTCCTTGAGAGCCGAATGGGATATAGCTAAGGTAGGTAAAGAAAGAATAACATGGTTAATTCCAGCAGCACAAGTATAGAGATGCAGTGTTGGGGATGTGCATACCTACTGCAAGAAATGAAAAGTTGTCCTCGACAGTACTAGAAGTGCTTTGCAGGGCAGTATAGGGCAATGGAGTTAGATGGCTAGGTTATAGAATATCCTGATAACTGTGCAGGCAATTTTGGAGTTTTTGTCCTGGAACTTAGATAGCCAAAAGAAGTCTTTAACTTGGGAGTTAGTAATTAATTTAATTTGTCTGGTGGAAGTAGTATATAGAGTATGGAGTAGATTGAAGAAGTCCTAGCCTAGTTTGAGGTGCTGAAAATTTTTGCAGTCCTAATAAATATGTAAAAAGTCCTAAATAAATAAAGTCCTAATAAATTTATGCAATCCTATAGAATAGACCCAAACAAATAGTATATTGATGGAAGTCCTAGCCTAGTTATGAAGTGTTAAAAATTCGTGCAGCCTAAATAAATTGGCAACTACAGCACCTTAGCAAATAGGTAATCAATAAACCTTGAAATGAGTTAATGAGTGAAGGAATGAATTCATGGACCATGATGTAATCAAGAAAAGATAATAGTTGTTGGAACTGAAATATATATGAATAGTCACGTGATTTTCTTACAGTTTTCTGTAAATATCAGTAATGTGGGGCCGGGCGTGGTAGCTTATGCCTGTAATCCTAGCACTTTTGGAGGTGGAGAAGGAAGTATCACTTGAGGCCAGGAGTTCAAGACCAGCCTGAGCAAGAGTGAGACCCCGTCTCTACAAAAAATACAAAAATTTTCTGGGCGTGGTGGCATATGCCTGTAGTCCCAGCTACTTAGGAGGCTTGAGGCAGGAGGATCGCTTGAGCCCAGGAGTTTGAGGTTGCATAGAGCTATGATGATGCCACTGTACTCTAGCTTGTACAACAGAGCAGGATCCTGTCTCAAAAAATCAGTAATGTGTAAAAATGTAAAATTCATGTCTGATGTATGTTATGTTTTAAAACATATGAGGAAAACCAGCCAATACTTGAATCCTGCTTTCTGTTCCAAACAGTTGATTGATAGCTCTTAATCTATGTGAAATATAATTAGTTATTACCTTGAAAACATATCTAATTAGAACTTTTTGAAAAATATAGAGTAGATTATAATACAAAATTATAAAAAAACAATTGCATATTTGCTTTTATCTTGGAAAGTTTGGATGAGATGTTTGGATTATAAATTTACAAATTTATTGTAAATTCAACTATATCACAAATTTGTTATTCCTTTTATCTTTTAAATTGTTTTTTTAAATGTGCTAACCCAAAGAAAATTTTTATGTAAACTTTACATTTTGAAATCCTGAGGTGTAGATACATTTCATCATTTACGATTTTAAGCAAGAACAATATTTTTATGGACATTTTTTTTTTTGCCATTTTTTTATCATCTTAAGTCTACATTTCACACGATGTTAAATGAATGTGTCAGATGTAGTTTATGTTAAAATAATTTCTAGAATTTTCTTTTGAGCTATCACATTTTTCTTATGTCATTCATTCATTCAATTTAAAGATACTTGCTGACTACCATAAAACCCAGGAATTATGCTACATGCTGGCTTAAATATAGCATTTGTAACTGCTCTCTAGGAACTTAGTTTGGAAGAGACAGCCACATTAATAAATAACTATATTGTGGTATGATGAATACTATAGAAGAGAATTTACAAAATGACATGGTGATTAATTCTGCTTGGGATTATGTAGTGAAGAGTTGTAGAAGATATTCTCCTAAGACATGATATTTAAATTATATTTTGACAGATGAGTAAGAATTTTTCAGGTTACAAAGAAAATAATAGGCAGAAGAAATATGATGAGTAAAGACAGGCATAAAAATCTGAATAAATGACTAAAGTGTATAGTATAAAGGGCATGGGCAGATGAATTTGTATGGTGAAGTTTTGAATTCATATTATAGGCAATAGGTGCTACTAAAAATTGTGAAAAAAATGACCAATATCATTATGTAACTGTTGAAGCATGAATTGAACCAATGAGAATATGAAGGCCTGAAGATGGCTGGTAGTTTAGGCATAGTAATTATAGAAGCACTTATTTGTACTTACTATCTTGCAGGTACTGTTTTAGCATTTTACACAATCCCATGTGGTAGGTTTTATTATTCTTGTTTAGAGATGGTGTACATCAAAGAGCCCAAACATCACATAGCAAATTAATGGAGAAGTTTGGCTTTCAGCCGAGTCTACCTTGGCTCTGGATCCAAGTTCTCATTCATTATACTAAGCTAGTAATAGAAAAGATAAAAATTTACAGGGAATGTAATCAGAACATTGAGAAATACATCAAAATGTCATGGAACAGGTTTTGTAAGAAAAAGTTGTTAATAATGGATTGATAAAAGGGAAATTGGTGTGTATATTTAAGTAGCTTTTTATTGTTTTTATAAACAAGGAATTGAATACTCTTCAACCTAAAGATACCTTTCGTCTTTGGCTCACTGCAGAAGTTCATCCCAACTTTACTCCTATCTTACTACAGTCAAGTTTGAAAATAACATATGAGGTAAGAAGATTTAAAACTTGGATCACTAGTTGTATGAGAGCAGTAATCTATACATACCTTCTAAAGCTTTTTAAACAACCATCTGTTATACAAAACACATAACTTCATTTTTATATTTAGATGAGGTATAATATACGTAAATAATAACATAAAGTGATATAAAAATTCATTTAAATCTTTTCAAATTTTATTTCAATATCATTTTTTTTTGTTTTTATTGTGGTAAAAACCATATAACATAAAATTTACCATCTTAACCATTTTTAAGTGTACAGTACAATACCATTAACTATATGCATGTTGTTGTCAATAGATCTCTAACTTTTTTATCTTGCAAAACTGAGATTCTGTATCCATCGAACAGCAACTCCCATTGTCCCCTCCCCGCAGCCTGGCAACCAACATTCTACTTTCTGTTTCTAAGAGTTTGACTACTTTATTTTTTTTTATTTTTAATTTTTTACCATTCAGTCAAAATCTTTTTATTACAGAGATAATATAGCATCTGTAACTTTGCACATTGTTGGGGGGGAAAATAACACATGGGGAGAAAATAATTTAGATACTTCCTTTAGTAGAATGATGTAGTATTTACCTTTTTGTAACTGGCTTATTTCCTTTAGCATAATATTCTTAAATTTCATCCATGTTTTTATGACAGGATTTTCATAAGACTGAATAATATTTCATTGTATGTATATACCTCATTTTCTTTATCAGTGCATACTTAGGTCTTCTACTTCTTGGCCACTGTGAATAATACAACGAAGATAGGTGAGCACATATCTCCACAAGATCTCATTTTCAATTATTTTTGATATATACTCAGAAGTGGGATTGCTGGATCACACGATAATTCTAATTTTTTGAGGAACTCCATACTGTCTTCCATAGTGGCAGCGCCATTTTATATTCTCACTAGTACTACACATTTTCTCCACATCCTTACCAATACTTTGCTATGTGGTGGTGGTGTTTTTAATAGCAGTCATCTTAATGGACGCGAAGTGATATTTCATTGCAGTTTTGATTTGCATTTCTCTGATGATTAGTGATTTGAGCATCTTTTCATATACATGTTGGACACTTGTAAATCTTCTTTGGAGAAACGTCTATTCAAATCCGTTGCCCATTTTTTATTGGATTATTTGGTTTTTTGTTGTTGAGTTGTAGGAGTTCATTATATATTCTGGTTACTAACCCCTTATCAGATATATGGTTTGCAAATGTATCCTCCCGTTCTGTAGATGGGGGGATATATTTTTACTCTTGTTGATTGTTTTCTGCACAGAAGTTTTTTAAGTTGGATGTGCCATTTGTCTGCTCTTGCTCTTTTTGTCTGTGCTTTGGGTGTCATATCTGAGAAGTCATAACCAAATCCAATGTCATGAAGCTTTTCTTCTAGGAGTTTATAGTTTCAGGTCTTACATTTAGGTCTTTAATATATTTTGAGTTAATTTTTATATATGATGTAAAGTGAAGGTCTAACTTTATTTTTTTATATGTGGATATCCAGTTTTCATATCATTTGCTTTTGGCATATCTTAGTAAATTAGATTTTCAGTCCTTCCTTCCTTCCTTTTCTTCCATCCTTTCTTTCATCCTTACATCCTTCTAACATGTAATACTAGGTAGATCTACCCCAAACCTGATATATCTAAAACCTAATGTGTTTGTAATGATATTTTATAACTCGTCAAAGTCATAAATAAAACAAGAAACTGAATTAAAACTTTAAACACTGGTAAAGGATGTTCTGCTTGCATTTTCTCTCAATTTTTAGAAACTTTTCTGTTTTATATGATCTTTTTTCTGAAAAAAACTATCAGCTTAGTGTTTGTAACTACCTGTTATTTTAGATCAGTACTTCTACTTTTATTTTTCATCTGAAGGGGTTAGTTTGAGGAAGAAAAGGATAAGTATCAATCCAGGAATGCAAAGATGATTTAATATTGGAAATATGTTCATGAGTGAATATCATTATAAGGTCTAGTAAGAAAGAACCTTTTCAGAAACTTTTACTGCTGCTTTCCAGATACACCCTTCTACTAATATATATTCTAGAACTGGATTGTATGAGCCATGATGGCAGGCGCGACTTTTTTGCTTGCTTTTTTGAACTTATTGTATATATCTGACATGTAAGAGGAACTCAGTAAATATTTCAATAATGAAGAATTAATATACCAGGGAAATTGTTCCTTGAATGTTTTAACTTAGTGTGCAACCTTCTCCAGAATCTTTTTAGGAGATAATTTGATTATACTTCTGTGGAAATTTTCAATTTGTTTTGAATTATTTGTGAATTTATTTTCTGTTTCTTGAATCAATGTAAATAATTTTGACTAACTTAGGAAATAGTGCAGTTTATTGAGATGTTCAGACTTATTGCTGTGCATGTTTGTATACATACACGTACGTATTATTTTTAAAAATTATTAAAGCCATTTCATTATTTTTTGTTCTCTTTTTTGATTAGTTGTCAGAATTGTTTTAAAACTTTTTCCAACTAACTGATGCCATACTTATGAATTTACTTTTTTCTCATTCTTTTCTATTCACTGAATTTCCTGCTTTTTTTTGTATTTTTTTCTTCCTGATGCTTTCTTTAGATTTTTGTTTGCTTTCATTCTTCCTGATTTCTTAAGTTTAATACTCAATTGCTTTATATTTACTTGCATTACTACTGAAATTATTCTGTCTGTGAATTTGCAGTTGAATATAGCTTTTAGTTCATAATTTTATCTCAAAAACGTATCAGTGTTTTTGTTATTTTTCAAGTAGTCTGTATTTGTATATGACATACTAATTTGCATGATCTTTAGTATAGTGCCTTTAAGAAAAATTAAGTTGTTTGGTTTCCTACTAATGTCATGTTTTATTGACTAGTGCTCAGAAAATTTGGCTTAGTCTGTGATAATTTTTATAAATGTTTCGTAAATGTACAAAGCTTTCATTTTAAAAGTGTAAATTTGATACTTAGTACTTCAATAGTATATTTTTATTTTAAACAAAAAGTCTTTTTATTTAAGAAATAACAATGAAAAGACAGCAGTAAGGCCTATATTGCTTATTTTTTGTAGTAGGCATTGTGAAAGTATTGATTTGAATTATATTTTTTCATTTTATATTAGAAACCATTTTGGAAGGAA